ATAGAGTCATTAGGTTAATTCGAAGCAGAAAAGATGAAAAATATGCAACCGCCTTCGGCGGGAATCGAACCACGGACCTCTGAAATACCGGTTCAGTGTGCAGAACCACTACACCACGAAGGACGCTAGAAAAGCGGGAGAAATACCTTATAACTTGACTACTGGGAAACCTAGTAGGCAACAATCTCTGTTCTTATGAGAAGAAGATCTAGAGTACGGTTTCTAAAACCAGGGGAATTCTCTTCATGGATGTGTTCCAATAAGCATTTTGTTTACCTGTTAACTGCTTAGTTTTCCTTCTGTAGAGTCTTGTAGAATTTTTCTAGGTCTTAAAACTGAAGCAATTCCCATTACCCTCACCGGGATTCGAACTCCGGTTCTCTCGGATACTCGTCGGGCGTGCTTCCGGTTAAACCACGAAGGCATGTTGAAAGGAGGAAGAAAGTTACGTATATATTCCACCTTTTAAAGGGAGACTAGGGATTAGGGGAACCAGGCTCCAATTCCTAGTGTTGACAAATTATCGTCCACCACATTTTAGTTCCGGCGCCACTTGTAGAGACTTTTAGAATGTTTTAATGTCAAAAAAACTGAAGAAATCTGGAATGCCCTCGCCAGAACTCACCTCCTGAAAAACAGACGAGCGAGTTTCCAATTACACCACGAAGGCATGCGGAAAGGAGGAAGAAAATACCTTTATGTAATTAAATAGTTTTAAATAGTTTATGAGTATAAAAACAACATTTATTCAGATTTTTGTTATTTATCAGCATTATAGATAATTTTCTTGTTTAAGTTATAAACAAATTAAAAACTAAATCTAAATTTAAATACATTCACATGTAATTTTAAGTTGAGGAATGTAGGAGGCGAAATTGATGGTTTAGCAAAGTGGAACATGGGGAGAAAAAAATTAGAAGCACTGGTCTAAATTGAATATTATAACTCCATCTTACAGGAATTGCTGATGATTTGCTACAGCACGTTTACGAACCTGTTGCTCGTATTACTGCAGAAGAAGTGGAATGATATACATATACGTAATTACTACGAAAACTTGTGAACTTGTGATTTTTTTTAATTATACGCGAATTATTATTTCACATTTGGACTGATATTTTGCTAGTTAAGAATTTCTGAGGCTATGTCAGTAAGAATGAATTTGGTTTACGACTCGGGTTGTTATAACGTCTTTGAACTTGAATAAAAAACTTATTTTCTATTTATTTCTTCTATTATTATTATTATTGCTTTCCCCCTGTTCTGGAGAACAGGGAACTAAATTTGTTCTTCATCCAGAGCGATAATGTTTTATTCAAAATCTACGGTAAACTAATACTGTTTTCTTGCTAGATTTTCAATATGTCATTTTAATGTGGACTTAGACATACGGGAGAATGGACAGTCCAAATATGTCGTCTGCTGTCATTAAGTCTTTGGACTTTGTGGCAGATAAGTGTGGCTCAAATGAGAAAAATCATTTCGAGTGGGTAAAATTTCTAGTTTTGAAAATGAAATCAAATGCATTAGTTGAACTCAATCGTAATATAGCATGTGTTATTATGTATATTTTTCTATGATTACGGGACTTCAAGATTTTTGAAACGCTTAACCGAAACCTGCTGTTTAAAACTTGTAAGGATCCTAAGTTTTACTAACGTTTAATTTATTTTAAAACTGTACTATCACTTCTCTACTTCCGGCCAGAATTAAATGTTTTAACTTGTTTATGCAAATTGTCTTGCTAACGCCCAAGTGTTTAAGTTGTGGCTTTTTGCCAAGAGTTGGGGAGAGAGAAGGAGATTTAGGAAGCACGCCGCTTGCCACTGTAGTTCTACGAATCTTCACTCAGTTGCTGGTTGCCTTTAAGGCCAGAGGTTTAGCCCTCTTGATACTTGAAAACGTATTGTAGTTTCAGCAGTTTGGCGTTCTACATACATACCCTTTTAAATAAAGGCCAGTCTTAGTGCTAAGCGTTTGTATACTAATTCAAAGTTAGCTTTTAGTTAGTAGTTTCGTATTCTTACGTTCAGACAACAAGTGGTTGGTCTCTGTATCCTGAAGTTCGGGAGTACTTGTAAAAGTATAGAAAATAAAGGGTTTCGTATACCCTTCCTGCTTGTGTCGTCTGTTAAGCACAAATCTTGAACATAGCTTGAGTAAGCTCCCTGTTCCTATTCAGGACACATCATGTTTCCAAAGCAAATCAAGAGAAACACAAGTCTGACAAACTTGCTTAGAAATTTTTCATCAACTTTGAGAATAAAATTGCATATTTGAAAACTGCGTTTCCTGTAAGAAACATTTATGTAATATGCCTGAACTCTCCCAGCGAATTAAACATAACACTACTTGAATCCCGTCCCAGACGTTTTGAATCAACCTGCAAATGCTATTTAAATAAAAATTAAATGTTTCATCGAACGAATAATTCTTAGCTAATCAAGCCAAGTGTATCTTTGAAGAAAATATTTTAGCGTTCATTGGCAGGTTTATTTACATTTCTCTTTCGATAAAGATATATAAAGTATTTTCATTGATTTCCTGTAGATAATATTTCCTGACGCTTTTATAATCACATTTTGGTTTGATGGATATAAAGAATGCCTTCTTTTGAAAGCACTACTTATGAGTAGACAGCCTTATATAATATTTCCAGTAGATTTCTTATTAATATAAAAACATCTCTTTATAGTTGATCATCCTGTCTTGTAATGAAAGTATTAGTTGAAGCAAACAGAAATGTTTTCGGAACTTTAGTAACGAGAAACAGACGCGTCACACTGTGGCCTCATCTTGTTTCCACTAATGTTCAAAAGGTAAGAGAAGAAGGAACTATAGCTCAAGGCGCTGCATCATTAGATGCCTGTTCTTTGATATTTTTTGTCCCGGAAAATAACGTAGCAATAGCGGAGGACACTTCCCTGAAATAAAAGAAAGGAGATAAAAAAAGGAAATCGAATCGAGAAGAAGTAGAAGTAGAAAGTGGAAGAATTCCCTTGTTTGCTCCGGTAATGAACTCAGTCTTGGGCATGTGGGGTAGTTCTTTGTCAGACATGTCAAGTGATGTCTTTGGATTTCGTCGTCTGATTTTCTGTGCAGGTTACTGCATACTTTTTTATTTGGAATCAGATTATTCATACGGCCTTTTTTATCAGATTGTAAAACTATTATTTATAGAGAAAAAATTTCAAATTAGTTTAGGATTAAACGGAAAGTGACAGTAAAATATAATATTTTCTTTTCTTGTCAACTTAATGTCAACTACATTATTCCATTATTCTCTTATAACATAAAACATATAATTATTTTGAAACCACATGTATTTGTTTTGATTCATAAAATGATGCACCGTTGTACAGCAATGCATAAATACAAATTTCTATCAATTACAGATTTTATCAAAAAATAAATAATAATTTGAAATATTCCATTAAATAAACAGTTAATAAAATGGAATATTTCTGAAACATTGCATCAATTATAATATTCATCAAATGCTGTTATTCGAACTAATTTTCAAATTTATTTATTACCGTAATATTGAACTGAGTTCAGATACCTTTTGTGTTCTATTGTTATTTGTCAACAAGAAGTATAGCTGCTGTTAAGGGCTTTAGCCATGCTTTTATTGCGAGTTCAAATGCTGATACTTCTTTTAAAGTTACTTTCTAGCAAATTTTTGAGTAGAGGTCGCAACTTTGAGCTTCATTCTTAAACATTCCAAGCCGTTTTCTAATCTTAGTAACACACAATATGAAATATCATAAAACACATACAAAAAAATATTCGTAGTTTCGATATCTAATCTAGCCCCAACCATTGCACTCATTCATTTAAATCTTAGTGCCAGCATGTAACGTCATAAAAATCGCAGTTTAGAATTTTTTCTTAAAATTTCGTCTTTAGATCATCAGCTGCTAAGAACAAGAAGAGAGCACAATAATTCCGGAACTGTAACCCAAAGGCATTCAAGTGCGTGGTCACAGCAAGACAGAGTTAAGAAAATGGTAAATGGCATTAGTAAGAAAAGTTTTAGAAAACGATTTTTAGAATAACAGTAACTCACAAAACTTTTAAAGTTAAACAACGTTTTAAAAGATGTGGAAGTGGACAGACATTGAAGGATATGTATTAACGACCCAATAATAGTTCTCTGGATATTTTGTCTTCTTGGTTTTTGCTTTTACGCGGCTAGTAAATCTTTCTTTTTATATTATAAATAATAAAATGTGAATGCAATTTAGCAATAAAGTTTTCTATTGTAATACCAACACACATACATTCAGCGCAATGTTAGTTTCAAAGAAGAAGAATAAAAAATTTAAGAAGCTAACAGAGCTTATAAATATGGTATTTGGGTTATAAAACTCATTACGTTTCCGGTCTGACGAAAGAATTTTACGGCATTTCGGAAGCTTAATCAATAATGAATTCTTTTGCCTTTGGAAGACTTATCTTAACACTAGAAGCGCCAGAACAGTCATTTTGACTGCTTTCGTCATTTGACTTTGGATTCCTTAAAAAACCTTTATCTTAAGAAGTCACAAATTTTGGTATTTTCCTAAAATATGTCGAAAATTATTGGTACCAAATATAAATCGAATGAAATTAAAATTAACGGAGATATTATTAGTTATACCTAAAAGCGCCACGAACAGTCATAATGACTGCTAGTACGAGTAATACTGGGTAGATTTATATGGTATTCTCGCTCATAAAATATTTTTCTTGGAAAAACATCTGGCGTACATATACATTCCTTTCATTTACTGATTATTTACAGAAGGATATACTTCCCTTCCGCTCAGAAAATCCCTTTTGTTAGAAAAACATCTGGCCTACACATTCCTTTTCACTCTCTCTTTATTTACAACATCCAATACTTCCCCACCTCCTTATCAACGGTCCACCTCTTTTTGGCGAAATGATATAGTCCTTAGTTTGCATTAGTTCAGTCAGTTTGTTTCATGACATTTCATTCTTTCAAGCGCACGGTAATGGCAGCTCGAAGACCGCGATATCTGAGTCCAGAAGAAATTGTACAACTTTTACAGGATTTATCTGAAAATGAATCTGGTGTTGAAGAACATAATATTGATGATGATATGGATTATGAGCCTCCACAAAACTTTGAGAGAAATAATAGTTCTAGTGAATCTGAAGATAGCACGGAAGAGCAATCGTTGGGCCAAGGTTTTCAGCCCATCGATATTTACGCAGCAAATATTTCGTCATCAGTAACTGCAGCATACACATAAACTGAAATAGGTAAGAAATATTTATGTTTATGTATTTTATTTTTGTTTTGACAATTTCTGAAGTACTCGAATTTTTTTTAAAATGTGATGAGTCATTTATTGTAAAACAATATACATATATATTATTTTTTTAGGTTCCCCTAATGCACAAGGTATAGGATCAAAGCGAAAACATGATTTACCTAACTCAGGATACGCACGAGGAAGAGGATGTCTTTTCCAAAACCACGAAGAAGGCTCTATATATGTCTCAAAAGATGGAACCTCGTGGACTGTGACATCTACTTCACAAACTACAGCTGGGAAATATGGAGCTCAAAATATGCTAAAAGAAATGCCGGGTCCAACATCTTATGCAAAACGAAATGTTGGGGACAATGTGTTGAGTGCTTGGAGGTTGTTTGTGGATGAATCGATGTTACGACATATTAAAAAGTGCACGGAAGCAGAGGCAGTTTTGAACAATGAAGAAAACTGGGCAATATCTTTAGAAGAGCTTGATGCTTTTATTGCTATTATTTATGAAAGAGGATCATATGGTTGCAATGATATGGATTATGATTTTTTGTGGAATAATACATGGGGTCCTCCTTTTTTCCGAGAAACAATGTCTCGCAATCGTTTTCGAGATATTATGAAATATCTGAGATTTGACTTGAAGTCAACTAGGACTCAGCGTTTAGAAAGTGATAAGTTTTCACTTTTTTTCCGATATTTGGAATACATTTATACAGAACTGTGAAATTTCCTATAAACCAGAAGAAAATCTAGTTGTGGATGAGCAGTTATTTCCATCCAAAGCCAGGTGTAAGTTTATACAGTATATGCCGAATACACCTGATAAATTCGGTATCAAATTTTGGATGTTAGTCGATGTAGACTCGAAGTATATGTGCAATGCTTTTCCATATCTTGGGGAAAATACATCGAGAAGTGAAACTGCAAGTCTTCCTGAAAATGCAGTAATGCGTCTTCTAAGCCATTATCTGAATTCAGGTCGAAATTTGACAACGGACAATTATTTTTCCTCACTATCATTAGCTAGAAGACTTAAAATGAAAAACACAAGTTTTGTCGGCACAGTAAGAAGACATCGACAAGAAATTCCGCATGAAGTAAGGAAATCAAAAACCCGCTATTTGAAATAGTTTTGCTAAAAAATGGTGAAACTAGGCTCACTGTCTATCAGGGAAAAAGGAATAAAAATGTCCTACTACTAAGTACCTTACATCCAAAAGTGTAAATAAAGACTCACAAAATAAGAAAAAGCTTCCAGAAACAGTAGAGTTCTACAACAAAACCAAATGTGGAGTTGATATCGTTGACAAGATGACACGTAAATATTCTATTCGGGCTGCTTCACGTAGATGGCCTGTGCATGTTTTCTATAATATGCTGGCTTTAGCAGGGACGAATGCCTACATTATCTACCATAAATTGAGTGATAAAAATATTACAAGGCACGACTTCCTATTTCAATTAGCACAGGAATTAAGAGAGCTTTATTTAAACAGAAGAAAAACCGCAAAATTGCCCAAGGAAATTTCCAAATCTAGCAATAGACTCTCGAAGAAAAGACATCAATGCCAGATTGGACTTCGTAACAATAACAAAACAAGTGATGTGTGTAAAAAATATCCATATTATGTGTGTGGAAAATGCACTTCCAATATTGAAAACGTTGTGTTTTGTAAAAATTGCGAAAAGCTGTAAAATGTGTTTTATTAAGGGTACGCTGAAATTTATAATAAAATATCCTCTATTTTTTTATTAAAATAATCTGTTATTCTTTAAAGTTCGTCAACAACTGTAATTAATATTCTTAAAAGCATTATAAAGCATTTACATTTGAATATATACATTAATTCGTTGAGCAGTCAATTTGACTGCCGTTGGCGCTTCTTGTGTTAAATTGCTATCGACTTATGATTTCTGGAAGACCCGTCTGTTTGCATGACTTAACATACGATTTTATCGCCATTGAGCTGTTCAAAGAATGCGACTGCTTTTAAACAGTTTTTATCCTATCAGTTAGTGATATGGCATGTTTTAGCTCTTCCACTAACTCTGTAATCTTATTCAGAAATTTCCTTGCATCATTTGCAGTTAAAAGTTTTTAAGTGTCCTTCAAATTGTCATTCTCATTCATTTTGGATCCTCTTAGAATATCACTGTAGAATGTCTTACTTGTAACGGTAGGGTGTTGCCCTTTTTCCTTATGGGCTTATTTCTGTCTATGTTGCCTCTCGATTAGATTTTTGAGGAAATGCTGGATATTCTGAGCAAATAAGAAACGATGAGAATCGCCTTCACACAGGATGTACTGAGCTTTATCATTTTTCGTTTATTTGCATTCGTAAGAAAAACATCTTTCTAATCGTTTCACAGAACGAGGTTTATTTAAGAGCCAGCTGAAGTGTGCCCAGATGTTTAGCGGCGATAAATACTGTCTCTAACTGGACCTAGAACGAAAGGATTCAACAACAATTCTCACGTTGAGAATGTGAGTAAGCTTGTACGTTTTCTTAGCTTCTGGCATTCGGATAAGCTCCACAAAGTAGACTGAAATTTTTCTTACACTTCCATCTTTAATTTTCGTAAACTGCTTGAATTTCGTAGCCAGCGACTTCATTTCTTGTAAATCTTCTCATAAATAATTTTCTGTGATATCATTATGCATTCCTTTTATGACTGAATTTGTCTGATTGTCGCTTTCTTTTCCAAACGTGTGGAATAGAATTACTTTTTCTTAGATGTCTGGCTGCTTTTGGATAGTTTCTGGGATTTTTTAGAAATATCTTCAGCTGCCCTGCCTTGATCTGATTGCCGAATTCATCTTTGGAGGCATTCAGGAAGACTTTTCTCGAGTTTCTCCAGCCAATTTTGGCTTCTTGTAAAATGAAAAGAAGAATCTACTGTTTTCTTATTATGAAATTTTTAAGAAAGGCTGCTTGATCTTCAGAAAACTCTTCTTCGCGATTCAGAGATTCCTATCTGTTCGACTGCTTAACTTCCTCGGCGTCCCACTCTGCTAGCAAAACTGTTTTTTCCCAATGAAGAAAACTTCCTGTGCTTGGTTTGGTTTCTGTGATTATGACAAAGCCTCGAAGGCTATCTACCTAAGAGGAAGGACACCTTCATCGAGGACCATCTAAGGAAAACTGGCTCGTATACACGTTACAACTGGGGAAAATGCCCAAGAAGCCATCCTGTTTGCCGGATTCGAACCTCGGACGAAACTACCAGTGTTTAGAGACCGATGGTAGGCCTTACTTTTGAAAGTTTACTCTCTGAATATTCAGTACTGTTTCTATGCATTTAATCTTGATTGTTAATTTTTGCTGATATTTCTTTATGATTTATGATATAAATAAAAATTACAAAAATATTCATATAATATTAATGAATTAGTTAAACTGAATGTTAGAATTCAGTTTGACTATTTTTCACTATTGCTTTAGAACACGCAACTCTAGTAACATGAAAATCCTAACTGCTAATACCACTATTATTAAGTCACAGCGATTTGATTATCTTTCACGGCTTAAAGCGCCATTTTGCCTTTGAAAGTAAATGAATGTCAATAGTCTTTACCATAAATAAGGTTAAGGAAATCACATCAGTATGTGAATAAATCAACACATTAATTATTTACAGGTTTATTCACAAGTCAACATATTAGCTATTTAAATTACCCTCAAAAACAAGCGTTCAACATTATTATTACTGACTCAGTCAGTTCTAGGAACAATTCTAAACAAATGCAACAAAGTTGCCAGAAAATTATGCAAAATAACAAGCACGCAACACTTTAGCGCTGCCTATAGGTCAAATAAGCAGTCACATCACGCCTTAAAGTCCATATGAGAAATTTCCTTTCTGATTATTTGCCGTAATTAACTTTTAGAAGTTGGCAAACAATCATCATCATACATCATTTCTCATTTTAACAAGACTTATGTATTTAGAAAGCAAAGAATTTAATAACTTAATTAGGCTTTTAAGAAATTATTTAAACTTGATTTATTTATATAATAGCGCAGGCCAAAATGCTGTGCTGTTATTAGGAGAAATGTTAATTTATAATGATAATCATATTTAATGAAGCAATAACAATCAGACGACAGAAGTTAAATTAAATAATGCACTTTCATTCAAATTTATGGGTTTAAAATATTTACATAACGTGCACAAAATATAATAATGCAGAATTCTATTTTGATCTACTTTATTAAGTAAAAGGAATTCCCAGTGTACTAGAATAAAATACAGTATTATCCAAATAAAACGTTTGTACAGTATACCTAAATTATATTTACAATAAAAACAAAGGCATAAAGACAAAAAATGCAGTGAGACAAAGATAGCTAACTTCAAAAGATAAATCGAAATAAAAAAATTTTAAGTGAATGAATAATGTCTTCTATACTTCAAGTTTAAGGACAAAATTTTGATCTCATGAAAATATTTCCTGGAGGATTATTTTGCGACATTTGACGTGGACACGTGAAGCATTTATTTACATTAGCCTGGATAAAAAAAAACTGGTTCTTAATCATTATTCTTACTGGAAAATTTAATACGCGTAGTAATAAAGCAGGATTATTTTCAATGGAAAGAGTCATTTTTCTATCTGCTAAGGCGGTCCAGAAAATCAGTTGGATAAGATAGAAGTTTAATTCTGTCGCCTCTATTATTATTAAAATGGAGAGTTTGAATAAAGATTTTATGATTTATCACCTGTATAATCTAAAATAATTCCATGTGGACATCAATGGTTTCCTTGTACACACCTATTAAATTGCAGACATATTTTGCTGCAATTCACTTAAACTTATTTTTATCAGATTTTAAATTAATTTTTATAAGTCTAATTTAATTAACTAATCGCTCAAGGCAAGTTGAAACTGACATAATATATTGCAAATTTTAAAATCAAAGAACCCGGTTATGAAAAATTATTACCTATGAAAAGTGAGGTAAAATTTAAATTGTAAATGAGTACTATTTTAGAAATTAATAAATAATCAAACTGGAACTGTTAATTAAAATACAAAACTAGGGAAAAAAAAAGATTTATTGATGATTCCTTAGAAACATCCCGACTTATCGACGAGAATTGGAACCTGTCCATGTAACCGTCAACAATTTATGAGGAGCGCGTTTCGTCATTTCACATTTCTGAACTAAATCCCTATGCCAATTTTAAATTTTGTGTTCAAATTTTTAAAATCAGAATTTAAATCTTAAATAATTCCATAAATGTGAAATAATTCCCCGACGCTCGGACAGACAATTAATTACAATTAAATCGAAAAATAAATAGAATATTCATAACTAAAAAATAAGTGAAAATATATGACAAGTGACGGTGGACGTGGGGGGCACTGTCCCTTTACCGTAGCGGTAAATCATTACAGCACCACGTCCCCCCTTATCTAGAGATGGCTTGAGTGGAGCCACACAGGAGTCTCGCACAGGGCGCCCAGGGCCGGATTCATCCAGAGGTCAGTCCTACCGACCAAAGCACGCCCCCGGGATTATCATCATCCAGGGCGTACATACCTCCCATACAAGGGAGCTAAGTACAGAAAATATATGACTAAGGAAATAAAAATCTAGATGCAAATTAAATGGAAGAAAGAAACAAATAAAAATCTAATAAACGGGAAATTTTGCATATTAATTGGCCAAAGTTATTTTTAAATTTTACTTGTATTTTACCCTAACCAAACGAAATTT